GAGAGAGAGAGAGAGATTGAAGTTGGGCAGAAAACGAACCGGGATTTGTTTTGGTCAAAAGATTGTATTTTGAGGAAATGAGAGAGAAGAATTGGGTTTAGAAGAAAAAGATTGGATTTTGATACAGAGGAGCTAAGTTTTACAGAGAGATATATATAGGGATGGGTAGGAAACAGTCTGAATCCGAAGGGAACCGCTGGCCATGCTTGGTCCTTCTTGGGATCACTCTTCTTTCTTCTACTCTGGTTTATATCGCTCTTTCAGTGGCCTTTCAACCTCGATCTCCATCCATTATGTCCTTTTCTCAATTTGGTTCTGTTGAAGGAGGAATTGGGGTTGGTGATTGTTGCAGAGGGATCGAACAGTTGGAATTGTGGGGACCTGCAGTGAAATGGGGATCCGATTTCAAGTTCAATTCATCAGACAAGTGTTGTGAAGCCTGCAAGTCTATGTGCTCTGGAGATGGCCCCTGTCTCTGCAATTCTTGGGTCTTTTGTGGGGACAAGGATCGATGTGAAAACAAATTTGGGGAGGTGGGTATAATCTTTTGCTCCTCAAAGTTGCTTCTCTCTCTCTCTCTCTCTCTCTCTCAATGTTTCTACTGCTAATCTCATGTCACCATTTTATACTTTTATAGAACAGCCACAAAATCCAACATCTTTATTTTTTTTTCAGTAGTTACAAAATCCAACATCAAGCATAGGTTTGTTTCGTTTATTCACTGTACGTGAAGCTGCTGCTTTTCTTTTAGTGAGTCCTATTGGACTGTCATACTTGGTTTACTTGGCAATGGCAGATGATTTATGGAAGCATTGAAGTTTGTGCAAATAGGGAGACATGATCAAAACGTTTAAAACTTTGGGAAAATTGGAAAATCTTACTCGGTTTTTTTATTTGAGGTTACAGGCACCGGCTTAAAGGCTGGTTCTGAGAGCTTCCTAAGAACAACTTGCCATTAAATCTAGTGAGACCTAGAAGCGTTTACGACATAATTTTGTGATCCATGCCAGAGTGTCTCATTCATGTAGTCATCTATCTATGATGATTCCACAGTCAAATGCTTTATGACTTAACAAAAACTAGGAAATGGGGAAATGCAAAAGAAGCAGAATGATAATGAGATGTGGAAATACGGGCAAAATATAAAAATCTAAACATATTGGGAAGTTCTCAAGTCACAACATGCTGATAAATCAGAGTTCTGTAAAAGCCCAAAGCTTCAGTGCAAGTTAATTTAGTGAAATGAGCTATGACCAAGTATAGCCATTGTTTTGTTCATGAAGCCCCATCACCTTTGTGAGCTGGTATACATGTGGATGTGCTTATTCACTTTTTTGATATATTTAGGTTCTTTCCTGGTAATTCTAGTGACATTTCTGCATAGCCTACCATTATTCCAATCACATCGCTTGATGTGAATGTACATTTAAACATTTTGCCACTCTTAAAGCATGATTTGATTTTTAACATTTCCTGAAAGTGGCAATAATCTTGTGTACTTACTGATTTGTTATATTCGGTTTTCTGCCTATAGTGCTGGTTGAAAAAACAGAAGGACCCCTTAAGTCCTGATGTTCAAGCGTTGGAAGACAAAGAAAAAGTTATTTGGACTTCTGGACTTGTTTATGGGAAAGGAGAGGTCTGACATCTATTACTTTTCAGCACATCTAATATTGTTATTGTTCTGGACTCGCCTCAGGATTATCTGTTGTTGACCCATGTGTGATGATGCACTGGGCTTCTGCTATGATGAATAGCTACTTTAGCTCTTTATTTACATTATTCACCACTCCCACACCCATGTTTTATTTCATATTTCTTATGAATGCAAATTTTCCTTGATGGCATTCCCTTGACTTTTTTTTTTTTTTTCCGGTTATATTTAAAGGGAATAATTGGTCTGGAGACACAGCATGGGACGATTCATCTCAAAGTAAGTGTTGGTTTTATGATACCTTGACGCACCAGTTGTTATACATATATATATTTGCTGCCTCACAAAATATGGTGGTCATTTTGAAGTCTTTATCAATGCTTGGTCTTTTTTTGTTCCCCCAAATTTTGATATGTTATGAGTTTACATGACTTTGAATCTTCAAAATACATTTTATTTGGCATTCTCCATTTTATTTTTGCATGAAATGAATGAGCTGGAGGATTGTATGCCTTAAATCATTCCCAAGCACGTTATATCTGTAATTTTAAGATCCTGCAATGTAAATGTGTACCCATTAATCTTGTTCAGTTTCTAGGAGCACGTCTTCTTAGAGAGTGTGTTGATAGCATGCACCCACGTGTAGAGTTTTCTCCACTTCCTCCAGTTATATTTTGAGATATTTGGCATTGTATGTACTATTTATCAGTCAGACTACTATGCTTACGCATATCAAAATATTTTTGCGCACAGATCTCTGGGTTTGTTTATTGAATGGGCATTTCACAGCATAAATTATCCTTCAGTAGCTCTTTATCTGATTTTAGGTTTTGTGTCCTTTTGATCAAGTATTTCTCTTTTGCTTTGTACTTTGGACCAGGGCATTATGGTTCAAACTGTTCTTAGCTTTCAAGACAGCCATGTATAAATATGGCTACTGGGAACACTTATGATTGATTTCCTATTTAGCTAATGGATCTGCACTTTTTGGGGGCTTGATCTAGTTTCTTTATTCATCAAATCCGAGTAGTATAAACCTCAATGAAATTTATTTTTTCTTCTCGATAATGACGACAATTTTATAATCCAAGTAGTATAAACCTCAATGAAATTTCTTTTTTCTTCTCAATAATGACAACAATTTTATTGAAGTACGTATTTGGGAGACAACATAGACGATAAGAGGTCATTTTGAAGTACAAGGAGAAAAGCAAGACGAAATTACAGCAGTTACCAACCCTCTTTAGCCACATTTGGTTCTCGCAAGCATTGTATAGATAATATTGGCTTGTCCGCACACACTTCCCATCTCTTCAAGTGGTGGCATCAAATGACAGAGAAATTCTCCTCAATGTCCAGCAAAAAGCAATCCCAAATTTGAAGTTAAATTTAAATGCATGCCACAATAAATATCTTGTTGAAAAAGTAGCGTATAAACCGTGGAACAAATAAAATACCGACCCAATGACTGCAAGGAATAGCAAACTTTAGATGCTAGGAAAGGATATCAGATTATGGTGCATGATTACCCATTTTTGATGTGAAACTTGAAGGTGGGATAATTGCTTAACAATGCCATTCTCATATATAAAATTTGAAACTGATCGGGCATGTACTATCCATTGTATCAGAGCCGGTGCCGTTTGTTTCCTGATCATATCTCATCTCATCAGATTTAGAAATATTTTAAAAAGCTGAAAGTGATTAAATGCTTCTTTTGTAAATCCAATTGGGAATTGGCCTCGATAAAGCTCATATAGTATCATGGGTTGGATACTTTTGTATTTTTTATAATAAAGGACAGATTGGCTATTGCAGAGAACTGTGGAAGGACCTTCAATGTTAAATATGTACAACGTTTAGGCAGGTCGGGTGGATTACTATATTGAATACTAGTTTTGAGTAAGGCACTCCTATCTAGCTGAGACTTTTACCTATCAAAAAGGAAAAAGAAAAGAATGCAGGGAGGCTTTTATTGTGTGGTCTGAAGTCTATGAGCTGTTGAATCTATGAGCTGTGCACACGTCTTTTCTGTTTGAACTAATGCATTGTAAATTTACCCAAGTTACAGGTATTAATTTGTTTGACCTGATTTCTGATGTAGCTTGTGTCCTGGTTAACAACATGTTTTTGCCTGTTATATGACTCAGGTGTTAAGACCGGAAATGATTTTGAATCATTGTGTCATAGATGCGGTATAGTTTGTTCGAGGCCCTTAAGTCCTAGGTATCCATTTGCCATAGTATGGTGGCACATTGTAGTTTCTGTGGGCATTGAAGCTCTTCTTAGGTACTTTGCCTCAATTCCTTATTGATTGATATCTACATTATCGTTTTTATTTTTTATTTCCTTTTTTTTTATGCTCATGCTTTTTCCGAGTGTATGCTACTTCTTTGTAACTATATGCCCCTTCGGTGATTATATGTAAAGCACTGTTAGTATACTGCTTCTTTGTGACATAAGCTCGGTGATGTAAGGGGTCAATGTAGCAAATCTTTTAACATCAATTTCATGACATGATTTATTTCCATTTATCATGCTATTCAACATCTAATTCCTCATTTCCTATCACTCAGTACTTTGTCCCATGTATTCCTATCAAATAATTTTAGTTTTATTACAGCTTCTTCCAGACTGTGCTCCTCACTCTGTTGCCTACATCATTGAGCTATTAAAATTGCATCATTGTGCGGGCTGCCATATATATCGTGCAGAAGGCAGGGGAAACTCCTGGGACTCAGAAGGGAACCACATTATGGAGGTAATCAGCTAATATTCTTCCTTTGTTGCCGTCAATTTGGGTTCAGTGCTGCGTGGACACCAACCCAGTGTCCAGTACGTTTCAGGGTATCTAGTACACGGGGCAAACCAGTACTTCCCTGACCTGTCCGTACAACTTATAAATATAAATTATTTATTTTTTATAAAATATGTAAATATTAGGAAAAAACAGAAAAATTACAAATACCCCAAAATAAGGAATGTTAAGAAATTTCATGGCTAGCATAGAATGATCATAAAAAAAAGAAAAAAAGAAGAACAATATGACATTACTAATAATAAAACAAGAAATAAATTAAAGAAGATAGAATTTGATAGAAGCAATGAAATTGCCCTACTAAGATGTTGAGGGCACACAACCTTGAAATTTTTTAGGGATGTGAGATAATGTTGAGTGAAAGTATAAAGCGGTAAGTAATAATATACTTTATGATATTTGTGCTCTCAACCTCGAAATATTTTAAGGATGTGAGATAATGTTGAGTGAAAGTATAACACGGTAAATAATAATATAGTTTATAATATTTGTTTCACATTGTTTACTGCTTTAATTTTGTTCGGACTTTCAGCTGTACCCGTTGTGTGGTCTAGGCAGTCGAACCTCTCCAACCATGGAGAGGACAAGAGGTTGATGGGTTCTACTGTTCTATCAAGTGCAATGTTTTATTGTCCATTATTTGTTTTATCTACTTTATTCTTTATTGAAAAAATTAATCACGTATTTTACATCAATGGCATGGACAAGTGTGGTAGATCGGTTGATCTCATGTGAGCTCGTCCCAGGCTTGATTTTCTAAAACAAAAGCATGCAAATTTTTTGAACATGTAAAATTGGACTACAGAACTATCATACTTTATAAGAAACGAACACGGACACACACACACATATATATATAGGACAATGCTGAGATTAGCCCATTAGCTCATTTGAACATATGTGTTCATATGAGCCCAACAGCCCGATTTGACGGTCACGACTTCATTTCGTATTTTAATTTTAATTTTTTTTCTATGAATCCAAATAATTTGAAATTTTAGGCATGTATTATTAAAAAATAGAAGAATTTAATAAAAATAACAAAAAAATAATTTGCAAGAAATAAATTGACCAAAATACCCCTGAAACGTTTCGGGGCTATTTTGGTCTATTTATTTTTTGGGAATTATTTTTAAAATAGTTTTATTAGGTGCTTCTTGATGAGAAGAATGGATGCCTAAAATTTCAAGTTATTTGGATTTGTAGAAAAAAAAATTAAATTTGAAACACAAAATAAGATCGTGACTGTCATATCGACCCAGATTCAATCTGGGCCGTTAGACTCATTTGTTTATATGAGCTTGTGGGCTAATC